GACTGAACTTAGCTCGACAGACGGTGCTAAACAAATCAAGTAAGCTAAACACGGCGGACATGAGCCTGGAGCTCCAACAAGATATCATGATCTCAAATTTATCGAAACTTTTGATTCTTGATTCACATTCAGGACCCAGGCACGCATCTGACATAAGGAGTATAATTTGGCATGCTTTCGTATGTGTGAAAGCGTCACTGAGCTGGGGCATTGTCAATGTAAGAAAAGATGATATTCCAACCAACTTGCTCATTTTCAATTGGAGCTGTCAGAGTAAAGATCGGCCCTTCTGCAGCCTCTGTCAGACAATGATCATTGTCAGCATTGTCTGATCAAGGCGTAGAAGGCGTAGGGATTACCCCAAAGGTGTGGAACCAAAATTTGATCGAATGTCCCAAATATCAATTGGTTTCCAAAATCCTACGAATTGGAAGCCTTGGGGGGAAATTTGAGCGGTACCTTTGACGTGTACCTAACTACTCTTTCCCAGCAAAAAAAAAAAACGGATCAAATGCGGTTAGGAAAGGTTGCTCCTCTAGTTTTTGAGCTGCACGCCCGAGAGAATATGAGGCTATGTCAAGGAGACTAGTCTAAGGTCACCCAGGTATCCATGACGTCATAATAATGTCGTTCAAGTTCTGTCATTCCATTGGCCGCGCGCCGATTAAGGCCAAGAAAAATAGTATTACCATGTTGTTTAAATCTAGCGCTCGCGAGCACGAGTTTCAGATATAACGGCCATCAATTGGCTCTCAGTCAATGTTGTGCGAGGTACGATGACACAGTCAAACAATGATGCGGTGAGAAACATGGTTACTAAATAGACTCAATACAGAAAATGTGTTGTCCAGAGTAATCTTCCACCTAAACACATGGCAATAGTCATCACATTTTATTTCATATTATATCTTATTTCATCACATCTGGTGCTGGCTTCAATATCTTCAAATTTGGAGCATTCCCTTTAAACTAGTTACTTGGACCGCGTGACGACCAACTAAGTTCAGCCCAGACCACGGTCGATTTTCTCTCCGAGAAGTTCGTGTCTGTTCGTGCTCATAGACTCGCTTCCTGTTTGTCAGCAAAGTCGGGGCAGGTGTAACGGCAAGCGCCTACAGGAGCACTCTTTTAAATCGGCCACAGTTTGGGGCGTGCAGGATCTGTCCATGGATCGTCCTGCACGTCTGCCAGCTATGAAGTCACCGAACTTTAGCGCGAATAGCGCGAACAGTAGAAGGTACACAGGGCACTGCATTCTCCGCCCAAACCGCATGTAGTAGGTGGGAAATTTAGCGACCAGCCAGTCAACAGTGTCATCTCATCTCACTACCAGCATTAAATTTCGGCCATACGTTATATAAATTTAGATACATTTCGACCGCAGCGGAAATATCCCGACCGTTCCCCAAATTAGCGGTTGGGGAATGCTTGAGATTAGCTTTGAATGTGAGGCACTGGGCTGCAACTCCTAACATCTTCCGGACCATTTCCCAACACATCCCCAAGCGGGATGTCCGGAATGTCCTCGAGCCGCCGATCGTGGCTACGCACCGAAAAATGTAAGATCCCGATCGGGATTTGCCAGTATTTCCCCAAACGGCCGGCCAGGGAGTCCCGAGCGCTCCCCGAACTGCTGACGGCGATTACGCACTGAACAATGACTTATGTCACTTATGTCACTTATGTAACAGCGATGTTTCCCAAAGCGATGGGCGAAGGCAGGGGCTTGACGGAGGAAATTTCGAGAGCCCAAATGCTGTTTCCAGATCGGTTGGGAAAACTTGGAGTTTCCTAAGATTATCCCAGCTTTCTGCGACTTTTCCTCGAGCACAGGGATGGCTGGGCACCAGCGTTTTGCCAGAGCTACTCGTGTCGTCTGACATGGAAGTGTTTGGTGTATGATGATATGAACCATCCATCGTAACTACCAATGTGCAATATATCATTGTGACACTTCATTTGCTTTGGATGTTCAATAGATGGATGTACTTAGCAATGTGAACGGTGGGGAGGGGAATGATCTTGGATACCATAAACACATAAAACGCCCGCGTGTCCATGATATGACCGTGCGACAATCCTCGTCTGCTCAGTCTTATGAAAGCAAGAGACATTAACAATGACAATATATACATATGTAGATGTCAAACATGTTTACATAATTACTTTTCACTCCAATACTTAATATTTGTCACCAACAGCCCTTAAATATTCTAATTCGAAATCTGCTAGGAACAAGCTCATTTTTATATAAATTTAAGCTCGTGAAATCAAGCCTTCAGAAAAACGCTTTCACACTGACGTGATGCAAGGAACAAGAGCAAAGGAAGCAACAAGAAATTACGTAAGCTGCTCGGTGCATTAGCGAGGCACATTATTCACATGGATTAGACAGTAGTATTAGCCCTATTCTTTTGAAAAACCGAGGAATAAGTCTAACCACTTCAGCTATTGCTCCGATGAAGGCATGTTGCCGAAATGTCAACCTAACTATATCTCCATTTTTCTGTTTTTCCGAGGAATGATACTAATACTGATGTCTAATCCATGGGAAGCAAAAAGAAAGGTCGAAAGTTATACTGGCATATCCTCACGATAAAGTATCGCTTTTAATGTCGATGTGAAAAGGTCACAGATTTCACTGCGATCCACCTGAGGCAGTCGCGTGGCAACGTTAAGGGACCCGCAACATCTCTTCAAAATCGAAAGTCAAAATATGCGTCATGATCTTGAGACCAGTGACGACGGGGTTTCTCTGTAAATGTGAGGCAAACCCCATTTTACCTGGTTTCTTCCCATGCATCGCCAAAGAGTTAAATCAGATCATGACCTGTTGAAAAATAGGGCACCACAGTTATCGCAAAATAACCGACTGCAGAAATATTATAGATGCATGTATATATATATATATATATATATATATATATATATATATGCTATATTTATATTATATTAACGTGTGTGTGTGTGTGTGTGTGTGTGTGCGTGTGTGTGTGTGTGTGTGTGTGTGTGTGTGTGTGTGTGTGTGTGTGTGTGTGTGTGTGTGTGTGTGTGTGTGTGTGTGTGTGTGTGTGTGTGTGTGTGTGTGTGTGTGTGTGTGTGTGTGTGTGTGTGTGTGTGTGTGTGTGCGTGTGTGTGTCAATATATATCTGAAAAAGCGTAGGCCATGTCGCCCACAATCTAAGAAATGGATTCAGAACGTCAGATGTTCGTTTAAAAGAGTTGATATAAAAATATGAGGCGCGAGGTCGATGTCGGTCTTTCATGGACATTTTATATTTTATTTGGTCCCGGCCGGCCTTTGATGGGATGCCCCAGGGCTGCCTTGTGGTAAGAATTGCACGAGAAAATCAGTACATGACAAAAAAACAGGCTTTCACCAGTTGGTTTTTCGGCATCATGAGCTTAAAGTTGCTGTGTAGAGTTGTCGAAATTCAAGGTACCAAGGGGACCGGCTAGACCGTGTTGTAATCTTGAATAGCGATTATACTGGCGGTTCTTGATATCTCAAGCTGTGCTCATTCTGAACGGAAGAACTTTCAAAAGAAGGTGACTCTCAACATGAGAACTACAAAATGAATTACTCAGCATTAAGGCTTTCTAATCATGTCAGAAATGTAGGAACACACACGGCGATAAAGCAACCGATATTTCCACAAAATTATCACTTCTGATTAGCTAGCACTAAACAGCTCTGTGACGTTATCATCAAATAACGTCCCAGAGCAGGTTTTTATAACATTAAGCTTTACACTGTCTATCGTCAATCTCCAGGCGTGATACTATTCACTTTTACAAGCCATTTTACCTATCTGAACCTACGCTCCTAGCGAGACCTTTTCTCGCTGCTAGGAACGTTTAGCGCGCCTAAACACCAGCGCCTTCCCCGCCTTCCGTGGGGCCAGAATCACTACGCTAATCCGTAAATCGGGCGTTGGCCTAGCGGCGCCCGCCGGCCGGCCGACGCCGCCGCACCGCGGCGGCGGCGGCGGCTGAGCGCTGCCATTGGCTGCCGTCCGCAGGCCCCGCCCACCGCCGCCGTCGGCCGCCGCCCGGCAGCGCGGCGCTCACAGCGCTGAGACGCGGGGCGGGAGCGGGACGCCGGCGGGATGTTCGACAACGGAGGTGCGCTGCAGTCTATCGAGGCCATGTGCAAGGACATGGATAGTGGAGGTGAGAGCGCGGCGCCCGCTGGCAGGATGGGAGGTCGTGTTAGCGCTTGTCGGAATTTCCACCAATAGGATGTCTGGCGAGTATCGAGGTTCGCTGCGTTGTCGAAATGCAGTGAGTTCTGCCCCGAAACAGCCCTGAACTGAGCTTGTCGTGCCTATCCCCTTCGGTGCACTTCTTTGTGTCAGGTGTGTCTGTACAGCTGGCGGACTCGGTGGCGTCTTTGGCCGGCACTGACCCCTCACTGTTTCTAAGATGGCTATTTGTCTGTGTTTATGCCTGGCAGATTCCAGCAGGTCCTTCTTTTCAGACAGCTTCTTTTGAAAATGTCAAGGTCATCCGCAAGGGCAATTGAATTGGCATGATTTTAAATGTGATAGAAAAAACAAACAGTTTTTTCTGTTTTCACGACGTGGGTTGATGGTCCTATCTTTTGTTTTGTGCGTTCAGGCTGGCTTAGGTCGCGTGTCGCATATCCGTCTGTCCCGTGTCCGTACCCGTGCCCGTGTCCGTACCCGTGCCCGTGTCCGTACCCGTGTCCGTGTCTGTGCCCGTGCCCGTGTTGTCCGTGCCCGTGCCTGTGTCCGTGACGGTGCTCGCGTCCGTGGCTGCGCCCGTTGTGTCCGTGTGGGCGCCTGTGTCTGGCCCCGGCGAGCCCGTCCCTGACAGCGGACTCGGCCGGCAGTGGAGCTGGACTCGCCGCGGCCGCCGTCGCCGCCGCCCGGCTCGCCGTCGGCGGCCGACGCGGCCGAGCTGAGTCGACGCGTCTCGGCCGACGACTCGGGCAGCCAGAGCGACTCAGGCGGCAGCGCAGCCGGCGGCAGCCCGGCGCCGCGCCGGCCGGCCCGCACCGTGTTCTCGGCCGGCCAGATGGCCTCCCTGGAGCGCGAGTACGCCGCCAACCGCTACCTGAGCACGCCACAGCGCCGCCAGCTGAGCCAGCGCCTCCAGCTGGCCGAGGCCACCGTCAAGGTCTGGTTCCAGAACCGGCGCATGAAGGAGAAGCGCCAGCAGAGCGAGAGCCAGATGCACTACCTGAGCCAGGTCATGCAGTCGTACATGTACCAGCTGCAGTGCGTCGGCGTGGTGCCGCCGCCGCCGCCGCCGCCGCCGCCGCCACCGCCGCCGAGTCACCCGCTACCGCCGCTACAGCTGCCACTGACGCCGCCGGCTGCGCCTGTGACGTCACCAGCTGTGCCTGTGACGTCACCGGCTGTGCCAGTGACGTCACCGGTGGACCTGTGCCGGCCGCGAGTCCGATCACACCACCACCTCTTCAGGCCATACGCTCTATGAGCGTGCAGGTCATGTTCGGTACCGCGCGTTTGTGTTTTGTGTGATCGCCACCGCCCGTGAAATGTTGCCATCGTAGCTGCTTCGTGCCTCCAGAGATCTGCGAGGACGCGGCGCGAGATGAACCGGGATGTACAGCAGGTCCAGGTTTCCAGCCGTTAGTACGTCTGCGTAAATTAACCAAGCAGTAAAAGCGCCGCCTGTGAGCGCCGTCTGGTTAGACGATGACTCACCGGTATTCCTTGAGACGCTTTACGACCCGCTGACGATGCTCGTCGTTCTCCGAACGCCTCGGCTGTGTCGCAGCGAGCCGTCCTGGCTGAGGCTCGCGTGGTAGGAGAACGGCACGAGTGCAGACGACGCACGCTGCAGGTGCAGTGCTGCCGCGTAGCCCGTGCTCCTCCTGTCGGTACGCATATGCTGGGTGGGCTCACTGTTCTCATCGGTAGTAGGCATGGTGGCACAGCCCCACCCCCCCCCCCCCCATAGGTATGGTTGGTGAGGTTCCAGCACTATATTTGCGTTGCCGCTCTGTGGTTGATATTTACGCTTCACTTCATGAACCCCGTTTGTGTATTCCCGCGTTGTTTTGTGAGTAGTGCACCACAGTAGCGCTGGAGATGTTCTGTTATTGGTGTCAATACATTTATTCTTGTACCCAGACAGCGCACTGTGTTTTTGCCCGGAGAGGACCGAGTGGGGTTGATTCAGGTCAACGGCAGCAGGTAGAGGCCCCGCGCCCTCCGCCGAGGCCTTGTCGCCATCCAGGCCTGCCCTCCCCTGTCACATCGGGGAGCGGTGACCCGAGGTCAACTCGGCCCTGCACCGAGCTCGTCACACCCCTCAGCCAGCGACGCCGACGAGCCAGGGGCCCGGGCCCCTGTCCGGGACGGCGTCGGGCCCCTGATCCGGAGCGTCGCCAGCTCTGCTGAAAAGCCGCTCGGCGCCGTCGGTACCTGGGGCTGGCCGTGCGGCGCACGAAGGGACTAAAGGTGGACACAAGGGGGAATACAGGGGGGGGGGGGGGGGGGGGGGTGCACGGAAGCTCAGGGGTCATACAGAGCGACTCAAAGACCCCCAGGGCTACACGGAGGGGCTCATGGGGACACACGGAGGTATAGTAGGTCACACAGGGTACAAGGGGTGTCAGGCGGGGGTAGAAGGGGCTACACGGTGGGACTCATGGGGGACACATGGAGATACAGGGTGTCACACGGGAGCACAAGGGGTCCCACGGAGCGACTCACAGGGGACACACAGGGGTACAGTGGGCCACACGGGGGTACAGGGGGTCACACGGAGGGACTCACGGGGGACACACGGAGGGACTCACGCGGGACACACGGGGGTACAGGGGGGCATACAGGGGTACATGGGGTCACACGGAGGGGTGCATGGGTATCACATGGGGTGCAGGGGGTCACACGGAGGGACTCACGGGGGCACACAGAGGTACAGTAGTTCGCACGGCGGTACAAGCGGTCACAAGGAGGGACTCACGGCGGACACACGGGGGTACAAGAAGACTCACGGGGGCAGGGTACAGTAGGTCACACGGGGGTACAGGGGGTTACACGGAGGGATTCACGGGGACACACAGAAGTACAGCAGGTCACACGGGGGTATAGGCGGTCGCACGGAATGACTCACGGAGGACACACGGAGGTACAGTAGGTCACACGGGGGGGGATGGGGGGGATGGGGGGGGGGCGGGGGTCCGAGCGTCACCAGTGCGGCAGCTCAGTGCGGACCGGCCCCAGCTGAGGCCACGATCGCCAGGCGTCGGTGGCGTGTGCCCGGCTGGGTAAGACCGGCTCCGGACTGCTATGTCGCTGCCTGTCCGGTGTTCGGACCGTCTGGTGTCCGGACCGGACGTCAAAACGAATGTTGATGCTAGCTCAAAGTGAAAGGAGCCAAACAAGCGTTTGCTGAGGAAAAAACACTGTAGTACGCATTCTGGGTCGTTTGGGGAATGATGTGTTCCGTTTAGTCGTCTCGCGCGTGCTCTTCCATACCCACAGGTGTAGGCTTTAAGGTATTCACAGCAAACTGCGCGTTGTGTGAAGCCTGCGCACATATAGCTGCATCCGCGTTGTGAGCACTCTTTGATTAGCTCCTGATCCTCTCGTCGGTTCGTGCGACTTCTCGGCAAGCAAGCAATGAAAAAATTAGCGAGTTGCAATAAAAAGCATGGCGTAATCAATCGCGAGGTAAGGAAAGAAGTCACGGCTTAGCCAGCCAGCCAGCCGAGCCCCAGTAGGGGTCAGCCAAGTAGCCGAGCTTCAACAGCGGCCAGCCAACTAGCCGAGTCCCAGTAGCAACCAGCCAACCGAGCCCCAGCAACGTTCAGACAGCCAGCCGAGCTCCAGCAGTGGCCAGCCAACTGAGCTTCAACAGCAGCCAGACAGCCAGCCGAACTCAAGCGGCGCCAGTTAACTGAGCCCAGCAGCGTCCAGACAGCCAGACGAGCTCCAGCAGCGTCCAGACAGCCAACCGAGCTCCAGCAGCGGCCAGCCAGCCGAACGGCGCGCCAGGCGCGGACAGCTCGGGCCCGGCGCGCGGCGCGGCGGCCGCTACGCCATAAATACCGCCGGCCGGCCGGCCGTTACCGCTGCGGCCACCATTCAGATGATGCGCCGATGTGGGCGTCGTTACAGCGCGCCGCGGCCACACAAAGCGCGCCGCGCCGTCTTTGTCGCCGCGCCGTGTGCGCCACCGCGGCGGCGGCGCCCGCGGCGCAGGTGCGGCCAACATGGCGGCCGGTGGAGGCGGCGATCGGCGCTGCACCTGAGCAGCGACTGCGGACGGGGGGGGGGGGGGGGGGCGGTCTGCTGCGGCATGTCACCGGCAGCCGCTGACAGTAGCTGAACACTGAAGCATCGGAGGGGAGAGGAAACAAAAGTGCTACCCACCGACCATGTGAACGTCGACAGAACGTGCTGGCATACCAGTGCCAGGTATGCTAACCGTCGGCAGTGATCAGGCCTTAGCACACTGATAAGTATATCCTCGTTGTAAAAGCCCGGGCCAATGAGGCCGAATGAGAACCTACGCTAGACGCAATCGCTTTGAATCCGGTAGGTTTATTTGCGACCCAATAAGAGCTTTTAATTGGGCGAGCGTGGCACTAATTGAAAGAAAGGCCAGGTTAGATCGGATAAAAATCCGGGAGGCTGCCGGTGTAATTCGTGTCCGACATTTTTATTCCAGACCAATGAAGGACGGGCCCGCGGGCAGTCCAATCTCGGCTGTTGGATTTCATTGCCTATCGCACAGAAGCAGTGGGAACGGTACACTAGATTAATCCAAGCGAGAAGGTGAGGTTTTGAGGTCTCTTTCGAGATATTTTACAACAGTTACGAATTCAAGGTCGCGCAGGCTGAATAACACAGAAAGTGTGCATGCATTGACGAACACACGTTTCGTTATCAACAAATTTGGTAAATATTAATGAGGCGCGAAGACAAGTTCGTCTATCAGACCTCAATAATTTGGATTAAATTGGGGGTCCCTTTCTTAGAAATTTGGCATGGTTTTCTCAGACTCTGTAACTGATCCTAATGCAAAAATGTTTTGAGATCAGAATCTTCCGATGGGTAGATATTTGCCGGAACTCTGACTCTGCCACTGTGAGGAGGACATCCGCTTCACAGATAATTCTGAATAATTTCTTTTAAGCATAAGTAGCACCGAATGATTCGTGTGAGCCGGAGCCTGAGCGAGTCCCAGTAGAACTGTGAAAAACTTGACTGAACGGCCGGCCCGTCCCGATCGTCACGCGTTCTTCAACCTACCGACACCTCTTTCATCCTGTTTCCAGAAATACAAGCGGTTTGCTTTGAATGTTATGCTGCTTAGAATTTGCAAGCATTTGCCCACAAGCTGCTCGAACAGGTGTATCGAACTTGAATGTGCATTGTAGTAAGACTGAAATATTTATTTCGCTATTCGACTGGCGTGGGAAAGGTCAATTCATTGACCCCATTGACCTGCGAAAAAGTTGAAGAACACGAATCGGAGCCGGCTTCAGGCCCTGACAGCCCGAAGTGGCAGCCACACGAGGGCAATCAGCGCAGACGGAGGAGAGAGCGACCAATCGTATCGGCTAAGTGTGGCTTGATGAATGCATCAGGTGCAGCCCGCCCACGCGCAGACCGCGCATTCGCCCGTGTACGCGCATTTTCAAGGATTGGGGCCAGGTATGGGCAACTAAAGGATTTCAAGGATATGGGCCACTAAGGCAGGCACAGACATGAAATATTCTACACGGTGCAGGCGAAGGTACCGTCAACAAATGGCGACTTGACTTCAACACTGCGGGAGCATTCGAATTGGAGGCGCCCAATGGTAATCGGAAACAGACAGACATACTTCGGCAGTCCGCAGTACGACCCACTCGTTTGGAACGGTCAATTTCTTAACACTTTAGTCCTTGCTACCACGAGATCAAGATCAGATTTGCCATTAGGACAATAGCTTATTTTACGTTTACATCGGATGGTGTTGTCTCATGAATCGTAACTAGAATTACAGTAATAACAACATATACTAAGTATGGCTCAAGCACACAAGATGTGTTTTCAATGTCTGTGGACATGGTCGGGATATAAGGTTTATCGGCGGAGCTTTTCAAGCAAGGAATCTCAACAGCTTCGTTTTTCGACGGCCGCTTCAGTCTAGTTAGGTCACCTCAGTAGTTCACGGCGCGCGTAAATATTCAGAGAGGCAAACAACGCACCGAGTATCTCCTGCAAAGCCTGATTTCAACATTTTGGTTCGTACTTTTCACCCTATGTCCCAACAAGCTTGACGAAAGGCAGTCAATGTACTCTTAAAATGATGAAGCTAACTCATCATATTCACGAACCGATCTATCGAACCACGTGACCGGACTGCCTGACTGAACTCCGCTAGGGACGTTTGAATGCGACATATTTACAGATTCCACACTTGCACTTGTCATCTAACCCTTGATACCCAGTCACTTAACAAAGTGAAAATCGATTATTGTCATTCCGCCTTTTCATGGTGGATGAATAGCGCGGCGGCTGACATATTGTTACATTCAAATGGCGGATATACTTCCTAGAGGCGTCCAGCCGCCGTCACCCCGCGAAAAGCCCGGCAATTTTCCGGGTGGTCAGGACGGTCACTTACCGGAATTCTGCACGTGCCACGACCCCCTGCCGGCGCAGATCAAAGCGCCGCCCTCCATCAGTGGCGTTCGCCCTCGGCTATTAATGCGCCGACGATCGTCTGTCCACTGCCATCCCTTATGACAATGACAAATTTCCGCGCCAGTCTTTGTGTTTTATGGAACGCCGGCATTCTGACTTTGCCGGGCGCCGGCCATTAGCCCGCCTAATTGATTAGCGCCCAGCTTCAAAGGTGCCGCCGCCACCGCCAGGCCGACGATGTTGGTTTACTCAGCACGACTTGATTGGTGGCTGTTTGTGCTCCGGCTCCAGGCTTCGCGCAGCGCTGTGTTGTTCCGGTGCGAATGGCTGATTGAGCCGCAATGGCCGCCGGAACCAACGCCGTGGGGGCGCTACGGTCGCCCCCATTGCGCCGGTATCGCGGCATCGTTAAAGCCCGGGAATGCAGGCGAGGCTCGCTTGACGTCGGCGGGGGTGCTCGCGCCTGACCGAACAAAGCCGGGCCGA